CGTCCTACCCGCGACGCCAATCACACTGGATCCTGGCCAGTGATTACCCGCTGACACCTGGTGATCACTGACAATCGCCATGGGGAGGAAGACTGTTTTGTGCCTGTCAGCTCGAGCACAATGCACAGCCATCCAGAGCAGTGTGCTCACAGTGAAGCACACCCCCAACCCCCCCCCCCTAGTAAAATACTCCCTACACAGTTAACCCTTTGATTGCAAACCTCACATTAACCCCTTCCTGCCCAGTGCCATTAGTACAGTGTCCGTGCTGCTTTTTAGCACTGATCAATGTATTTGTGTCACTGAGGGTGTCACGTTAGTTCCAAACCCCCAGTGTCAGAATGCCCGCCGCAGTCCCGCTAAAAGTTGCTGATTGTCACCATTACTAGTGGGCGGGGGAATCCAGTACCTATACCGCCATTTGTAAATGCTATAACTTTCACGTAAACAAATTAATTTACACATTTTGGGATTTTGTTTTAGCAAAGACACGGAGCAGGATACATTTTGGCCTAAATGTATGACAAAATTTGATATTTACTTTTTTTTTTTTTTTTTTTTACTGGACATGTTTAATAGTGAAAAGTCCACAATATTTTTTTTTTTTTTCTGAAAATGATCTTTTCAACACCTCCCCCCCCTCCCTCAAATAGGGCAAAAAATAAACCCACAGGCGATCAAATACCACCGGAAGAAAGCTCAATTCGTGGGGAAAAAAAGACGTAAATTTCATCATGGGTGCGACGTACAGCTGTGTAATTGTCAGTTAAAGTAATGCAGAACACAAAAAATGTCCTGGTCAGGAAGGGGGGAAATCCTCTGGAGGGCGAAGGGTTTAAGTGGTTCTAAAGGCTGAAGGTTTTTACCTTTGTGCATTCTGTGTACAGCCCCCCTCCCTTGTTCCCTCTTTTTACTTACCTGAGCCTGACCTCAATCCAGCAATGTGCGTGAAAGCAGTAGTTCTTTGCTCTCTCCTCCTCATTGGTTCAGAGGCAGTAGGAGTCATTGGCTCCTGCTGTTGCCAGAGCCAGTGAGGAGGAGGAGGGGGGGATGGCTGAGGCATGCTCTGTGTAACTTATGGATGCACCGAGCTGGGCTCGGGAGCGAGCATGCACGAGTGCCCCTATAGCAAGCAGGGGAAGACATGGGAATAAGAGGATCAGGGCTGCTCTGTGCAAAAACCATTCCACAGAACCAGTAAGTATATATTTTAAAGAAAAACAAATTGAGCCATTAGTGTCACTTAACCCCCCTGGCGGTATTCCTGAGTGTAGCTCGGGGTAAAGTTTCAGCACCACAAGCGGTAACCCCCCCGAGCTACACTCGGGAATACACTGCAGTGTTGCTCCGGGATCTCTTCTGCACTTACCTTGTCCTGCACTCCCGCGATGTCCCTCCTGCAGTGTCCCCTGTAATGTCCTCCGGCCGATGCCGGCATCTGTCTTCCGGGTTCCGTTCCCTGCGACGTCGGGACGGAACTGGCGGGAAATTTAAAAATGTGAAAAGGTGACATTCACTAAATACAGTAAAATCGCATAGTATAACATTCCTGTATCAAACCATTTCACATACATTTTGTCCCGAGTGCTTTGTCTGGCGCCCTGCCTGCATTTTTACTGCTCTTTCTGCCTGGAAACTGAGAAACGTCCATGGCGTCCAAAAAGTGTCCCTTTAGGTCAACGCGGTTTTAGACCGGCTAGAGAACAGCGATAGTAAATCAGAACCACTTGCAGAATTGAGTGATAATGATTGGTGGGGGAAATTCCTCATCAGACACTGAAAACGATTCTGCGACTGAGCTCAGCGATGTGCGAACTTGGCGCTATATTTCACATTTCAGTGTTTTTGGTTTGATTATATTATTGAATTAAATTTATTATATTTTTTATGATTATTTATATATATAATTTCGGGTTTCAAATTTTAGCATACTCGGGATGTTTACTAGACTCTTGTTCGGACAGATTTCAGCGAGTTATTCCTAAAAATTACAGGTCTACAATAAAACGACCACATATTTCCATGGAAAAAAAGTACCGCTTTGAGCACAGAAATACTGACATAATCAGACCGCTAGGGAGGTTAAGCCCCCATTCACACACTCAGTATGAGGATAGCCAGAAAATTTATAGATATTGGGGCTAATTTACTAAAGGCAATTAGACTGTGTACTCTGCAAGTGCAAGGGATTTTGTAGCAAGGTTTCAGTGTACCTTGATCAGGCTGACCGGACGAGTGAGCCTTGTGCTTTGAAAGCTCATGACTTAGCCAGCAATGATACCCCGAGCTTCCTTTTTATATGAAAGCGATTCCAGATTTGTGATCTCAAAAATACCGACTATGTTAATTTTTTTGCCTTGCAGATCGATATTCTGGAAAAGACCACCACAATCTATGAGGATGAAAAGCGCACATTGCAGCAAGATCTGGAGACCCAGAGCCAAAAGCTGCAGCGTCAGCTCTCTGACAAGAGACGATTGGAGGCACGGATTAATGGCATGGTGGCAGAGAATGCCGTAAAGTGGGAGAAAGAATGTGTAAGTGATTGCTGAGGGATTGGGAACGGCATACGCCTGTTACATGGTTGAGAATTGGATAACTTGTACCAAACTTCAAGAACTAGCAGAAAAAAAAACAAAATCTGGCGCACTCTCCTCGTGCGTATGAACGCAAGAACCAAAAATGTATTAAAGATGCAAAAACAAACTCACAAGCCATAAAGGTCATAAAAACAGAGACAAGTCTAAGGTGCCAATCGTGGACAGCATGCCTCCTCGGATAAAGTGCTAACGCGTTTCGGGAGTCAAACTCCCTTCCTCTGAGGAATACATCTATTACTCTGAGGAAGGGAATTTGACTCCCGAAACGCACAAGGCTCACTTTTGGTTTTTGTGTTAATGCTCGGAGTGTGCGCCCATTTTTTTTTTTTTTTTTTTTTTTTTTTTTTTTCTGCTAGTATCAAGATTCCCCAATCTATCAAGGAGGCACCTCAGCCAGTGCACTACTCCATTTTGAGTGCAGCAAGAGAGATTCGAGTGCCGATTTCTGGTTACTGTTAGAAACTTCAAGAACTATCACATGGAATCTATTGCAATTGTATATACAATGAGATTTCTGTCCACAAGTTCAGTGGTTGCCGACACTGAAGTGAGGTTCTATGACACCTGCTGTGGCCCTTGCAGTAGTTCTCTGGTGTAGAATGACCGTGCAAGTCAAGATCGTGTGTTTTTTATTTTTTTTTTTTTTATATACCTGTTGTGGGGGAAGTTCCTATTCCCCGGCTGTTGGAGATATTCACTTCTATTTTTGGTACGACTCTTCTCTATGAAAGTAGCCCTCCTTATCCTCAAGCCAGGGAAGAATTCACCATTTCCTGAGTCATGTAGGCCATTCTCCCTGCTTCAGGTGGATATTAACCTCTTCACGCCGGCTGAAACGTAAAATGTACGGCCTCCTGGCATCTGGGCCTAGACGCCGAGCGGCCCGCACATTTGCGTTCTATTAAAAAAGAACGTGTGCTGAGAGTGCGTGCCCTGCGCGCTCCCAGCACACGTCTGGTACTCGCGGAAAGTTCCTGATCTCCTCTTTCGATCGGGACCTTTCCCGATCATGTGACCACCGTGAATGCGTGTCACGGCGGTCCCTTGACCCTAAACCCCGCCTCCCGGCTTCTGAAACCCTTAAAGGGCCGGGAGGTGCCTGTGCGAAGGGGTTAAAGCGGAGTTCCACTCATCCTGTCAAAAAAATAAGTCGGCAGCTACAAAAACTAGCTGCTGACTTTTAATAAACAGCCACTTACCTGTCCTGTGGTGTCCCCCGCAGCCCGTTTCACCGGCCGTCCTGGATTCCAGGTGCCGGCATCTTCAGTGTGAGCACCTGGCTGTGATAGCTTGCGGCTTCACAGCCGGGTACCCACTGCACATGTGCGAGTAGCGGTGCGCTTCATGAATGGTCCTGTAGTCTTCTGGGACCTATCCCAAAAGACTACGTGGGGGGGGGGAAACGACTTCCGCTTCCAATCGCCTAGGCCAGGGGTAGGCAACCTGAGAGCCGCAGGACTACAAGTTCCATCATGCCTCTGCAAGTCATAGCTGTAACTGTCAGTTTTGTAATCTTTGCAATGCCTCATGGGAAATGTAGTTCCACAACAGCTAGAGAGCCGCAAGGTTGCCTACCCCTGGCCTAGGCGATCGGACTAAAAAAAAAAGATAAAAAATACCTAGATCAAGGTTTGTGACTGGGTCAAGGTCAGAGGTCAAAAGGTCAGTGTTTAAAAAATAAATTTGGTATTGGTGTCAGTGTGTTTTTAGGTAAAGAAAAAAGACAAAACCAAAATTCGCACTATTGTTTCTGGGCTGTACTCCGGGTACAAATAACACACACACACATATATGGTATCGCTGCAATCGTCAGGAGCTGGAGAATTTATTTTGGGTTGTTTTTTGGTGGCCGGTTATGGTAGTGGCAAACGCAGCTAAATAAAAAAAAAAAAGGTGTTTATTTTTTTGTTGTTGTTTTTTTTTTTTTTTTACTATTTTAGGGCCAGTTTTCCTTTTTGATAATAAAAAAAAAAAAAATCAGGAGATATTCTTTACCATTTACCACCAAATGAAAGCCCAATTTGTCCTGAAAAAATTAAGGTATAATCCACCTGGATGTACGAAGTAGTTGTGATGATACGGACGGTTTTTGCTAACACAGGTCTACATTGCAAAATTGTGCTTAGGCATTTAGATTTGTTTTACCCTTGGACGTGAAGGGGTCAACTGTCTGTTTTATGAAAACGTGATTTATATTTCCCTAAGGCTTTAGCTGGGTGTAACCATTTGTAAGCCTCGGTGGTTCCTTCGTGGTTCTAAGGTTGTGTTTCATTCCAGGAGCGACGCGTGGCGGCCAAGCAGATAGAGATGCAGAACAAGCTGTGGGTAAAAGACGAGAAACTAAAGCAGCTGAAAGCTATTGTAACCGAATCTAAAGGCGATCGGCCAGAGAGACCAGCCCGCGAGAAGGACCGGGACCGAGAACCGAAGGTTCCCACCAGATCTATCTCCCCATCACCTGTTCCTGTATGTGTCACGTGGGTTATAAGGTGTTGGTTGGTGGAGGGGTTATATAGGCGCATAGGTGGTGGGTTGCTGAGTTTTCACACTGTATCCCGGGTGGGTTGCAGCTGGTTTGTATCCCTTTTTGATGTCGTTTTTGATCTTTCTTGTGTTTCAGATCGGAGTGTCGCCATGCAGCCCTTTGGGGGGTGAGGCGGGTGTAAACGAGACTTGTGTTAATTTACACTTGCCTATCTTGGGTCTGTTCCAGTTGCCCTAGGGGAAAAAGACTGCATACCAATTTTTCTTTTTTTTTTTTTTTTTTTTTTGTGGTGTGTGTGTGTCTGTGTGTGTGGTGTGTGCTGTGTGGTGTGGTGGTGTGTGTTGTGGGGTTGTGTGTGTGTGTGGTGGGTGTGTGTGTGGTGTGTGTTTGTGTGATGTTGTGGTGTGTGTGGGTTGTGTGTGTGTGTGTTGTGGGGAGTGTGTGTGTGTTGTTGTGGGTGTGGGGGGTGTGTGTGTGTTGTGTGTGGGTGGGGTGTGTGTGTGTTGTGGGGTCTGTGTGTGTGTGTTGTGGGGTGTGTTGTGAGTGTATGTTGTGGGGGGTGTGTGTGTGTGTGTGTGGGGTGGTGTGTTGTGTGGGTGTGTGGTGTGTGTGTGTTGAGAGGGGTGTGTGTGTGTGGGGGTGTGTGTGTGTGTTGTGTGGGTGTGTGTTGTGTGGTGTTGTGTGTTGTGTGTTGTGTGTGTGTGTAGTGGGTGGTGGGGTGGGTTGTGGGTGTGTGTGTGGGTGTGGTGTGCGTGTGTGTGTCGTGTTGTGGGGGGTGTGTGTGTGTTGTGTGTTTGTGGGGTCTAGTGTGTGGGGTGGGGTGTGTTGTGGGGGGTGTGTGTCGTGATGGGGGGTGTGTGAGTGTTGGGGGTGGGTGTGTGTGGTGGGGGGTGTGTGTGGGTGGGGGTGGTCGTGTGTTTCCTGTTGTGTGTGTTGTGGGGTTGTGTGTGTGTGTTGGGGGGGGGTGTGTGTGTGTGTGTGGGTGGGGGGGGCGGTTGAATCTTGTGGGGTGTGTGTGTGTGTGTTGTGGGGTTTGAGGGTGTGGCTGTGTGTTGTGGGTGTGTGGGTGTGTGTGTGGGGGGGGTGTGGTGTGTGTGTTGTGGGGGGTGTGTGTGTGTGTGTCTGTGGGTGTGTGTGTGGTGTGTTGGGGTGTGTGAGTGTGTTGTGGGGTGTGTGTGTGTGTTGTGGTGGTGTGTGTGTGTGGGGGGTTGTGGGGTGGGTGTGTGTGTGTGTGTGGGGGGGTGTGTGTGGTGTGGGGTGTGTTGTGGGGGTGTGTGTTGTGGGTGTGGGGGGGTGTGTGGTTGGGTGGGGTGAGGGCTGCGTGTGTTGTGTTTTGTGTCGGGGGGGGGGAATGTTTGGGGTTTTTTTTTTTTGGGTGTTTGTGGGGGGTTTTTTGACAGACCACATAGAAGGTAGCCTGATGTAAAGGGACATCGGAGCCCATTTACCCCCAGCAAGCCATAGAGCTCAGCGGGGTCTGACCCAACGCGTCACTTTTATAAATGGAATGGCATGGATGTGGCATTCATCCAGATTGCAGGGGATCTGCACACAGCTCCTCTACTGGTTGGAGCGAATCTGCTCTTTTATTAAATGGAATGGGCATGGATGTGGCATTCATCCCGCCTCGGCTCTCAGATTGGCAGTGAAGAGAACTGCTCACCGCTCCCCTACTAGTTGGAGTCAGACTCCGCTGTGTGTGTGAAAGGGCCTATGGAAGATTGTTCACAAATATTTCAGGTCACAGCTCCTCATGAAAAAGCAAACCATGCTCGTCGCTTTCCAGAGGTGTTTTGACAGGCGGTGTGGAGGTCCTGTCACCTCCTCACCATCTGATTTATAATTTTATAATTGCCGCACTACCACATCACACATGCGCAAGCATTGCACGGTTTGTGCTTCCAGCACAGCTCCATGGAAATGCATGATTTGTATTCGGCGGCAATTCGCCTGCCAAGAGAGAGATCTGTTTTAAAGTTGATAAGTTCACCTTTTGTCGTCTTGTTACACCCATACTGAGGGTGTAACATGTTACTCTGACCGGTCCCCGACTCCCGCAATGTGGGACAGCTAGCTCCTCCCTCCCCGCCTAGCTGTGAAATAGAAACTACAAGTCCCAACAGCCATAGCGGCTGTCAGCTTTTAGTTATCCAATGAGCTACCACGGCACTGTGGTAGTTCCATTCCTTCCTGTCTGTAACGGCTTGCTCATGCAAGGTACAAGGAAGCAGATACACCCGACCTGCATGGCATCAGCAGTTCTGCTGTTCGCTGGTGCAATGCTGCGATACAGGCTCCTACAATAGTACAGGCGTACCTCCGTTTACAAATTTAATTCGTTCTGCGGGACTTTGTATTGCAAAAATATTCATAACCGAAAACACTGTTTCCCATAGGTATGTATTGAAAAAACAATTAATTTGTTCCGGAAGTCAGAAAAAGTCTTTTATCCGTTCAAAACTCTTTATAAAGTGCACTTTAAAGGAAGGCATAAAGGGACATTTAAAAAAAAAAAAAAAAATTGTAAATGCATTACTGAAAACCAATGAATCTTATTATAAACGTATTGCGAAAAAAAAATCATTTTGTAAACCAACGCAGTTTCCCATAGGAATGCATTGAAAACCAATGAATCCGTTCCCGGAGGTCAGAAAAAAGTATAAAGAGTTTTTTGAACAGAAGACTTTCTCTTTTTTTTTTTTTTTTTTTTTACTTTTTTTTTTTCTGATCTCCGGAACATTGCGTTTAATTCCTAGTGGAATATCCGTTTTTACAATTTTTTCATATACGATTTTTTTCTTGAATCTATACCACGTCCCTGTACAGTATTTATTACTTTTTTAAAGGGCACTTTTATAAAGAGTTTTGAACAGAAGACGACATTTTTTTTTTTTTTTTTTTTAGTACACTTTAAAGGCATAAAGGGACATGATTAAAAAAAAAATTGTAAATGCAATTGAAAATCAATTAATCATGCCCCTTTTTTTATAACTTTTTTAAAGTGCACTTTAAAAAGAGAGAAAAAAAAAGTATCTGTTCAAACTTTTTTTTTTTTTTTTTTTTCTTTTTTCTGACCTCCAGGAACGAATTAATTGGTTTTCAGTGCATTTACAAATTTATTTTTCTTTTTAATCCATTCCGGAGGTCAGAAAAAAGTAAAGTCTTCTGTTCAAAACTCTTAAACTGAGGCGTTCGTAAACTGAGGTATGCCTGTAAATACAATTATTATATTTTTAACCTGCAAAAAAAGTTTTGTTTTTTTTTTTTGTTTTTTGAAAGTGAGATGAACTTATCCTTTATTCCTTTTTGTTTTGCTGCAGCACGTTGACAGCTGTAAGTCGCTGTACCTTTTTAGTATTTAGGCACGCACTTGGGAGGGAGGGGTAAACCGCAGCTTAACTGCCTGGTCTTACTGCCCCCCTCCCCAAACAATTTTAAAACTGTATATTGCTACACTGGATCATCAGTCTTGAAAGTCGATTAATTTTCCAAGTGTTGACCTTTATATCTTTGGTTTCTTTAGCTTCCTGGTACCCCTGTATCACAGCTTCCATACAGCCAGCTCAACCCTGCTTGGCACAGGAGGTCAAACTCCTGCAGCAGCCTTTCAGTGGCCTCCTGCGTGTCGCTGTGGGAGCAGAAAACGCCACAGCCCGGCTCCGAGAGCAGGCCAGGACCCACCCTCAGGCGGAGGGATCTAGCGGCAGCAGCTAGGAATTGTAATACACCAGAAACAAGAACAGGTTATGCAGCCAGCATACAGGCAGAGGAGCAGACGACTCCCAGGGTCAGTGAGCTTCTGCGGTACAATCGTTCCCTTCCAGCAGCTGCTCTGACAATTCTCTTTGACAAATTGATGGATGAATACTTTGTCAGACATTCAGCTGATCCGGCTATGATGATGCTGCTGCTTCTGTGTATTCAGGTCTCTTTGCAGACTGCTATGTAGTTCTATCTAGTGGCTGTGACCAGGAGCAGTAGTTATCCAAGCCAATGTCCTCCATAAAGAAATGGATTTCTGAAACTGCAGTCAGTGGGTAGAAACTGCCGTCCTAGAGAGGAAAAAAACGAGAAAATTAGTGACCATCAATGTAAAACCGATTTGTGAATCCTGGCCGGTATCGTCTCAATTACTTCGACTAACCTATTTGAACTATATGAGTAGTACTCACTCTCTGTTCATAAATCCATTTCACGTCTTCCAATCGAAACAATTGAGTACTGATACTTTTTTTTTTTATTTGCACTAACATACAATTTTGAGGACAAGCTTTCGGGGAATGTCCCCTTCAAGGTCCAGGCAGTAGTACACTAAAGCAGGCCATAGATTGGCCGAAAGAATAATAGGCCGATTTTTCAGATCGTTAGTGGGTGAATTGGTTGGCCGTTTTTTCGTGATTTTGACACATTTTTTTTAATCGGTCATGTTGGGGGGGAAAAAAACACGGCTGATTTTGTCCATCGGCCGATTTTCACTGCAATGATGGGCAAATCGGCCGATTCTTTTTACCTATTAAAAAAAAATGCGCATTAGCCGTGACCTGCAAGAAAAGATGATGAAGACAAAGAAAAAGAACATTTGTATCCATTTCGGATACAGATGTTTCTATTCGGATACAAGTAGATACATTGTTGCAACCGCAATACTTTTAAATGTCAATTATAATAGCGGTGTCCCTGCAGAGAGCTCCGCTATTATATTTGACATTTAAAAGTATAGCAAAGTTGCAACATTGTATCTATTTGTATCTTAATAGAAACATCTGTATCCAAAATGGATACAAATAGATACAATGTTGCAACTTTGCTATACTTTTAAATGTCAAATATAATAGCGGAGCTCTCTGCAGGGACACCACTATTATATATTGCCGGCCGTAGATTTTTTTTTTTTTTTTTTTTTTTTTTACAATGGTAACGTTGGCCGACTGAACGACCGATTTTATTTTTAAAAAAACGGCCGGTTTTCTCCCGGTCTATG